AAACACGGCCACAGCTCCTTCTTCTGAGTCCAGTTCAAGAACCCATTGTGGCCCTCGAGTCAAAAAGTTTGCCCACCCCTGGTCTAGGAGATTAAGGAATGGTCTAGATCAGGGGTGGGCAAACTTTTTAACTCGAGGGCCACAATGGGTTCTTAAACTGGACCGGAGGGCCGGAACAAAAGCATGGATGGAGTGTTTGTGTGAACTAATATAAATTCAAAGTAAACATCATTTTTTTTTTTTAGTTCATTTCAAACGGGCCGGATCCGGCCTGCCGGCTGTAGTTTGCCCACAGCTGGTCTAGATCTAAGTTAATTGGCACATAGCTGGGACTGGAATTCAAATTTCTTCATTCTAAACCTAGTCTGTTACTTAAACAAGTAGGTGCTAACAGAAGTGAAACACTGTACTAAATATAAGATGATCTGCCCTCGAAAACAGTCTTTAACTTTAGAAAGGATCAATAGGAAGAGTTCAACCAGGTCCCTGAATGAGCTGGCAGGTGGCTTTAATACTCTGTTAAAGATTCTCGGCCCCTTATTAGGAACGCTATAGTAAAGACTTTGAAAATGGCTAAGTAACATCCTGGCAGAGGTGGCTTCTAGACCCCCTGAATCATCGAGACCTTTGGTCCAGGCAGCCAACCCCTGCCAACAAGGCACGCGCTTATTCTTGTTTCCCCAGCCTGAACTGACATCCACTCCCAATTTCGTGGTTGAAGTTATAAAGGGCGGTGGCAAGAAGGCCCTCGTGCTGGACTGTCACTATCCAGAAGATGAGGTACGTCACAGTCCCCTTTCTGTGCATGCGTCTGGCTTGTCTTGAAAAGCCATTCAGTTTCCCCAACTACTGTCTGTCCCCTCAGGTTGGACAAGAAGAAGAGGGCGAGAGTGACATTTTCTCCATCAGGGAAGTGAGCTTTCAGTCCACTGGTGAATCTGAATGGAAGGACACAAATTACACACTCAACACAGATTCCCTGGACTGGGTGAGTGCTTGATAAGATGGGGTGCTCCTGGGCCTTATAAGGGAGGTCCCGGACCAAGGAGAGACAAGCATTTTACCGAGTATTACAGATGAAGTCATACTGCTTTTCTGATGGTGAATGTTTCTCCTTGTAGGCCTTATATGACCACCTCATGGATTTCCTTGCGGATCGAGGGGTAGACAACACTTTTGCAGATGAGCTGGTGGAGCTCAGCACAGCCCTGGAGCACCAGGAGTACATTGCTTTTCTGGAGGACCTCAAAGGTTTTGTGAAGAGCCAGTAGGACAGACAAGACACTGAATACCTGGATTTTATGGCAGGCTTTGCCAGTGAACAAAACCTACTCTGAAGCCAAACATGTACTTTAAAATGGTTTTCACCCTAATATCATGGAAAATAATTCAGATTTAAATTATTTGTTGCCCTCTTATTTACTATTCATTTGTTTCTTTACAAATCTATTATTTCTAGATTTTTGTATAACATAATGGACAATAAAAAATGATTTATCTCTAAGGTGATGTTTTTTCTATTTGATTTCCTTCCTCCTTCAAATTGCACAACCAAACACCAAGAGCCAAGATGTTTGAAAGGTTTTAATACAAAATAAGTTACAAATGAAAGGTTTGTATTTACAAGGCCCCCTCAGACGGTCTGAGTTGGTTCCAACCCAGCAGAAGGCTGGCTTTAGATGATCGCAGCCCGAGCATCGCAGGCCTGGATTTAAATAGAGAAAGTAGCTTAAGATTTATCTCATAGGGCTGAACGTTGTCATCAGCAATGACATTTATGCTGCCATTAAGACTCCTACTTAGGAAAGGATGCTGAGTTACTTAGGAAATAGTTGCGGGTATAGAGGCTTGGCTGGGTGTCAGTCCTGTGGTGTCAAAACAACTGCCTTTTAAACCCTCAGCAACAATAGTACCTGCAAACTACAAATCCTGGCGATGGACTGATCTGATATCCTCACCTCAGGGACCCTGTGACCAAAAAGGTTATTCAGACTTCTGAGAGTTGACAGCTATTAGAGCTCAACAAGGAGGTGTGGTTCCTTCAGCTTAACAGGATTGAAACAGGCGTGCACCATTGCAAGGTATAAATTGTGCACACTGACTATAATCAGCTCAGGCCCATTCATTCTGGCATACCTTCCTTGGTCTCCCCTAACAATCAGTAAGCACTCGAATATAAACCTGGTTTCTGATTCCTTGACAGCTCAGCCCCACCACAGTGCTAAGGAATCCTGTGCTTAACCTTGACACCACATCCACAGGTAATATACTTGGCTTTCTGGTGGTCTAACACATCCCCATCCCATGACTAGCCCTAGACCACTGTCCCTCTCACATTTCCAATATTCCAAGTCCTTAGGGCTCTATGTACCCAACTTGGGTAACCCACACCTGTCTTCACCCTCACACCCACGCTTAATGACCCTACAGCCTGACTCACTGGATCTTGAGCCCAATGGTTCTTGATTTCCCCTTAAGAGAAAGGTGTCTAGTGCCCCCCGGACTCCAGAGCATTCCTCATTATCTATTTTTCAAAAGGTGAACTCTGGGATAGGCTACTGAAGACAACTTTGTCCTTCCCTCTCCTGTTTCTCATCTTGGTATGACTGCCTTCTGCCCAGCAATGGCCTCCCTCTGCCTCTGAGCCAGCACTGTCAATCATGCTGTCCCCACAACTGATGCCTCCACAGCACCTGCCTTCCAAACCTCCCCCTCCACTTGGCTTCCCTCCTGCTCTGGGCTGCAGGGCACCGATGGCCAAGTGAGCAGACGACTGCAGCTGGACTAAGCTAAGCAACTGGGCAATCTTTCACGTCCTTATGGAAGCCTTTATCCATAAAGGAAATCCCCTCCTCTGAACTCCCATAGGCCCTCCCCCTACAGCTCTCCAGGGCTACTGACTACCTGTTTTCTATATTCTCTTAATTACCAACCCTAGACTTGAACTCAGAGAGAATGCATATTTTTGAATTTTTATTAAAAAGTCCTCAACACATTTTAAAAAAAAAAGAATAGAATTGAATAACTTATGGAAGAAACTTGATAAAGTGAAATGTTGGCTGTACGAGGCAATACTGTTTATAACAAACACGACTCCTGTAGGTAAACTGCCTTTGAAATGAGAGGGCCAGGAGAGAACTAGAGATACCCAGGAGGAGGCCACAGTGCTGGACTTCCCTAAGTGCAGAGCGCTCACAACCCAGGGTTCCCCCTGCTTGGGACCTTAAGCTACAGCCAGAGGTTACTGTAAGAGACACTGGTTCCTACAGCAAGCGTAGGTTCTAAACCAGGGTGGCTCTACGTCCACTTGTGTGGTCCTGTTCCCTCACACCTGAGTTGTCACTTAGGGGGCCAGACAGTAGCCCCTGGTCCCCCGTGAAGATTCTTGCTGAGGAGGCCAGCCTGATGCTGCCCTGCTGTGCTTCCTGTTCCGTGTCCTACTGTCAAACTGGCACCAGGCTGGCCTACCTGGTCTTACGAATATGAAATAATCAGCTTCACCTAAGGCCACTGCTGCCAATCAAACAAGAGCAGGCAGGGCCGCCAGGCTTCCTAATTCCAGTCCAGTGCACCTCCCACCATCCTGTGCTGCCTCTGTCCTGCCCCTTTCAGGGAATGACTGGACTTTTCATGGAACGGGCTCGTCACCTTCACTTTCCTATTCAAGTAAACTCCTCAGAGAATAAACTGCTTTTAAACATGTACCTGTTTCCAACCTATGATTTCTCCCAGAGCAGGGATAAAACCAAACACTGAGCTGCCCCTACCGCGGGTCCCCGGGAGGCTTACCAGACAGCTCATGAGAAGACTGGACTTTCTTCCTGTCCCTTCAGTGACTGAAAATTGAGGTGTGTGAGGACAGTGGGCGCTGTGCTCATTCACGCTGTCCTCTAAACAGGCACGAAGTTTCTGCTCTGTCAATTCTGGAGACTAAAAAACAAAAAGGTTAAACCGCAACCTAATCTTAGCTACCTCATCATCAACAGGTAGAAAAACCTGATTCCTCACGATAACCTGTATCTGTGATGACTTGACTCCTTGGACCTTTAAAAGTGCTCATGATTGTACTAAAAAGGTCTCTAAGCCAATCTCCACCTGACTGCCTCTCCAGACAACCAGTGCTCTCCTCTCCTCTGTAAAGCACCCTGCCACACACAGCACCAGGGACACTTGGAGCCGTCCTATGCTTCTGCCTCCACCAGCCAAATGTATCCCCACCAAGAGCCAGCACTGCTTGGTCCCAGATCTGTCTGTGCTAATTGAATTTACTACTATAACTGAGTAATTACATACTATGTTAAACAACAAAATAAGAGAATGAAAACAAAGTTTTCTTTTTTGTAATAATAAGTGGGATGTTTAGGAAACTCAAAAAGATGAGTTGCTTAAAAAAATAAAGCTGTTAAATAAAAGGGAGGAAAAATCCTAAAGTTGCACACTCAGCTTCTCAATGCACTTTTCAGAAACAAATTAGAAGCTCCAGGCAATGCATTATAAGAGTGGTTTGTAAAAAAAAAAGGACTCAGCTCTCCAATCAGCAGAGCCCCAAAGACTGGCAAGTAAATTTATATGCTTGAAACTTACTATAAATGTTTCATTTTGATAATGCACCACTCTAATCAATTGACAAACTTTCAGTCCCTGTCATGTCAGATAAGAGGGCTCCTTCTGAATTTTAAGATCACTGAAGCTTAAATTCTGAGTGTAGGTGTGTCTTCATATATGGACAATTTTTATGGATAAGTGTTTAACAAATGGCTCCGGGGTGGGGGCAGGGACCCCCCCCCGGTTTGTGTGCTTGCCAATTTCCATGCTGTATATATTCTCACCGTGGCTGATTTCAAGCTACCAATGTGAACTGAACATGAGCTGGGAAAAGATGTGCACAGCCATCTCCAACACACTACTGAAGGGTCTTAAGGTAAATAGATACATGTGGACAAAGGTGACAAAATCTGGGTGTGTAACACTTACATGAGATGGGATGTACAGGCCACACTGACACATGACCACACCGCTTGTTATTCTCAGGTTGTACCTAGAGGCAGAATTAGGACCCCAGAGCTTCATGGCCAGCAGAGGGGAAATTCCACTCGTTTTGGAGTGGAGGGTGGGAGTCAACAATGCTGAAAAGGTTTAGAAAACTCTTACTTTATGCACACAGGACAGATGAGGGAGTTTGCTTCCCACTCAGCCAGTATGATGCTGAGACACTGCTCATCAAACTGCAAGCTCTTCTCGTATTCATTGATGATGGACTGTTCTGCAAGGCAATGGACAGGTGGCGCGCTTCACCATGCTGCACCCAGCTGTCCTATATTTAGTGCTAACTTCACCGTCACAAGCTTCATCCACCTGAGAAAAATTCAGGTAAAATCATGCTACCCATCACTAGATAGTTACTTTTCCCTCAGGCTTCCTCTTGTTGGATTCCTCCCCTCCTGTCTGGCCTCACTTTGTGAGCAAAAGAGGTGAAGTGGTGAGGCTAAGGGACAAGGAGAGGACTTGGACACACATCACCAGAGGCCATAGCGTAGATGCAGACTGTCAGTCAGGTCCCAGGGGCAGCTGGAGAAAGCTGACACAGGCACTTCTTTCTGATGCCAGCCCATCCTGCTGAGTCCAGTGATCTGTCCCCCAATGTCCCTATGTTCAGAGTCTGTGTTGTTCAGAATCTATGTTCATTCGTTCTATGTTCATTCGTTCAGCAAGTATGCAACAATACCTAGGATGTGGCAGGCATGGGGTGCAAAGGTGAAAAAGACTGCTCCCTGCTCTTGATGAGCTCAGGGGTCAGTAAACCACAGCCCACAGGCCATATCCAGCCCAACTTCAGTTTTTTAAATAAAGTTAACTGGAATATAGCCATGCTCACGTGTTTATGTATTGTCTGACTGTTTCCATACTACAACCGCAGAACTGAGGAGTTGCAACAGAAAAAGCATGGACCACAAAGCCTAAAGTATTTATTATCTGGACCTCCACAGGAAGTTTGTCAATCTCTGTTCTAGTGTGTTCCATCTGACTGAGTATGGGCAGAACACAGTGAATCCTTATCACTTCAGATTTTTTAAACATACCCCAAAAGAAATATTTAGTGAATGTTATGTTTCACCACTAAGATAGGTTTTGTAGGTGGGGGTGAAGGGTGAATCAATAAAAAAATCTATGGTCTAACTGGAATCAATACTAATCATAACAACTAACACTTGCATAGCACTTACAATTTGTCAAATGCTATTTTAAGTCCTTTCCACATATTAACTTACTCACTAATATCATCTTTATCTTAAAGATGAAGACACCGAGGCATGGGGAGATTAAGTGCTTTGCCCAGTGCTGTACCAGTTAAAGTGGTAAAGCTCAGGAGTGAACCTCAGCAGCCAAGCTCAGGAGTCCATGGTCTTGCATCCTCAATTGTTGAAAGCTTTCAATATGCCAGACACTTCTCTACGTCTTCTACACATATTATTAAACATAAGTTTCCACACACACAAACTTATAGGGTAGGCCTATTATCTCTATTTTACCGATGATAAATACTGAGCCTCGTCAACCTAGGGCAATGTGGAATAAATGAATTACGTAAGGTGTTAAACTGTGCACTGTACGGTGCTAGAATGCCTCAGGGAGTAGATGCTCACAAGACCCTGGGTAGTCAGTAAAGAATGGATGGGAAAGAAGACACTTAAGTTGTGCAAGAGAGCTGATCTTGCACTGTATCCTACAGGGTACAGGATTACTATCCATCTATTAATAGAGAGGTACTGTCGGATAATAGAATAAGCATGGGAACCGGATTCACAAAATTGATATTACTTCCCAGCTCCACCACTAGCTGTTCAGCCTGGGTGAGATGCCACTCTCGTCTGTCTCCTATTGCCTTGTAGGGTAGGTGCCAGGAGAAAATCAGCATGGAATGAGAAGTCTGAGCACAAGACCTGGCATACTTAAGACTCGTAGTACTAGGAAGACAGCCAGTCAAGACTTCAGAGTAAAAGCAGAGACTTCTGGATGCTTGGCTGCAGGCAGAAGTAGAAGTTCAGAACTAATTCTGTTGAGAATAAAGGGCATTAGAGTGGCTAGGTACAGGCTAGGTACAGGAAAGACCACTCTCAGAGGTCACCTTGGTCAATCAGCTCCTGTTGGATTTCCTCCAGCTCAGCCAAGGCCATCGGCTCCTCCCACTGCAAGAGAAAGTGGGATCATCAGAGGTTTGAAGTTATCATCAGCTGACAAGCCCCACAATGATTCATACTTGGAGTTTGGCTTGAAGAACCCAGGTTTACCTGAGGAAATCAGTCAGTCCTGTCCTTCTATAGACTATGCTGACAGTGGGGTAATGTGGTCATGCTGAGAAAGCATCAAGAAATGCCTAAACTACCCAGTGACAAAATAATGGCACTTAATTGGGGGCAGATCATATAGGGCAGCAGCTAAGTATTTGGTTCTGCCAAGCTATGTGACCGCCAGAATGTTCCTAACCCCTGTAAACCTCAGTTTGGGCTTCTGTAAAATGGGAATAAAACCTAGCTGAGAAGGTTGTGAAGGTTATTGTGAGTACTAATTGTGATTATATAACACAAACATTTGGCATACTATAGGACACATAAGAGATACTGAATAATGCATCATTATTCTAGAGAGCTTTGATGTTTTCAAAGCAGTTTCCCACATTTTCTTATATAGTACTCACAGTACTGATATTATTGTCTTCATTTCATAATATAAAAACTAAAGGCCAGAGAGGCAGAGTGGAGTTAAAAAGCAACATCAAAACCAGGATCAGAATTCCAGAGCTGCTGGCTTCCAATCTAGTGCTCTCCTGACACCTGGTAAAAGGTTTCTATCCGCACTCAGCTCCCACCTCTCACTGAGATTAGAATCAGAAAGCTCCTGGAGACCTTAAAAAGCAAGATTTCTAGCTCCATGACCACTGCATCAAAACGTCCAGGGTGTAGCCAAGGAGTAACATTACTTTCTTTTTAGTTTCATAATTGAATATAATGCAATGATGCAGCAGGTCAACAGTCTGGTACTTAGGAACCATTAATCTAAAACAGACTAACGTAAAGGTAGACGAAACTGGGTTAAAGGCTGTTAGAATCCCGACTGTAGGTTTGAGAGTATATGGGTTTAGAGGACTCGGGGAAATAGGCAGAGGGAGGACACAAAGTGCCCTCCCTAAAAACACATCCCAGCCTGACCTGAGCCAAGGCCTCTGGGCAGCTTTCCATCGAGTGCCAAGCATTCCATTCCTCTTCCATCAACTCTTGTGCGAGAAGGGTGCTCTGAGCCCTCCCTGGCACATTGCCTCCAGCCTGTCGGTATTTGTCCAGGAGCCTGTCCCGGCTGTTCCTCATTCTCTCCAGGCATCCCTTGGAAGAAGGGAGGATGGTGGGAAGGGGGAAGGGGTATGGAGGAGAGGGGTATGGGGGAGAGGGGAAGAGGTATGGGGGAGGGGAGAAGAGGGCAGGCAATTCCATAAAAAGCAAACAAACAAACAACTCCTCTTAGATTTCATTATTAAAACATTAAAGAAAACTTATAGACACGAATTATCAACTACAATCCAAACTATTGTTAATTTTGCATATTCCCCTCCCATCCTCATCCACATGTAGATAATGAAATTACAATACTTTGTTTGCATATTTCCAGGTCACCGTTATTTCATGTTCTACTTTCAACGCCAGCTTCTTTAATGGCTGGATGATAACAGCTCAACACCCACTGTCCTGTTATACAGGACGTTTGAACTGCTTCCACATTCTTGCTGCTCTAGGTATGGCTGCAGTAGTCACCTAACTGTACAACAGTGTTTCTAAACTTGGGGCAATTTGTCCCCCAAGGGACATCTGGCAATGCCTGGAGACACTGTTGGTTGTCATAACTCGTGTCAGGGCTGCTGGCATCCAGCGGGTAGAGGCCAGGGACTCTGCTAAACCTTCCACAACGCACAGAACCACCACCCACAACAAAGAACTGTCTTCCTCAAAACGTCAATGGCCAAGGTGAGAAACCCTGATGTCAACAGTCATTTCCAGCATCGGATTATATTCCTAGGCTACATCTACTACTTACGGGATTCCTGCAGTCCTAGGCAAGGTTACAGGAAGCATGCTGAGCTCAGACTAGGTCAGAACTAAGATGCGGTACAACTCTGCTAAGGCAGTAAGTGAGGCTCTCCTGAACAGACGCTCTATCTTGAATAGAAATAATTTCTCTCTTGCGTGAGGTGCGTATACAGTACACAAAATGCCTTCTCTGCGCCCACTACCCAACAACAGCAGGTGCTGTTACTGTAGAGTGCAGAAGGGTGGCAATGGTCGCACTTCGAATTTAAAACAAACCCAAATCCAAAACTATGGGGCCTGAGGCTGGTCCGGCCCGGGCTAATCCCGCACCCAAGGGTCCAGGAATTCCGGGAGGCAGCCGGGCGATGGGCAGGACCCAGATCTGCAGGTGCGAAGACTTGAGTCCCAGGTCCACCTCCACCCGCCAGGCACTCCAGACACCTGCCTCACCCGGCGAAGGCACTGAGGAGAGCGGTTCCTGGAGGGATTAGGGGGATGACCACGGCCCGCCCGGCCAAAGCTTCTCAAATCCCACACTCACCTGCCTGAACGTCTCTTTCCACGGAGGCGAGCCCACCAATTTGTACATCGAGCGGTGCGGAGAACCAGACTGCTCTGCCATCTCCCCTCCGCGGGAGCAGCCTCCAGAAAGCCCCGCCCCTGCGGGCGCGCAGAACCCTGGGAGTTGTAGTTTCTGGTTGCTGATCGTACTACACGGCAGGGAATTCTGGGAAGTGTTCTACTGGCCGTCCCAAGAAGGAGACAGCTTTGGGCAAACGAAGGATGGGTAATTGCGGGAGTGACAGCCGTGAGATTAACCCACCTGGATTGAGGAAGTTAAGTCTCGACGAAAAGCTTTGAATATCTAGGTTTACCCAGGTGGAGGTGTCCAATAAGCAGTGAGATTCACAGGAGTCAGATTCTCTCTCAGGTTCTAGACTTTTCCGCGGCCCCAAAACTTGAAACCGGCACTGGCCGGTCGACTTTCTCGTTCCGCCCCCTGGGGCGTGACTGGCGATTGGCTATCCACTAGCGCTGCCGCTGCCTGATAGGCTGGCCTCGCTTTATTAGCCTAGCCTCGTGCTTCCGGGCTGCCTGCTCGCTGATTCGCCGAAGCAGTGGGCGGCCGGCCGCGGATTGGCTGCGCTCAGCGGCGGGCTGAGCAATTGGGATGAGGGGGAGCAGTTGGGCCAAGATGGCGGCCGCCGAGGGATCCTCAGGCGACGGCGAGCTGTGGCAGACCTGGCTTCCTAACCACGTCGTGTTCTTGCGGCTCCGGGAGGGACTGAAAAACCAGAGTCCAGCCGAGGCCGAGAAGCCGGCTTCTTCATCATTGTCTTCGTCGCCGCCGCTACCGCCGCCGCCGCAGTTGCTGACGAGAAACCTGGTCTTGGGCCTCGGCGGAGAACTCTTCCTGTGGGACGGGGAAGGCAGCTCTTTCCTAGTGGTTCGCCTACGGGGCCTCGGCAGCGCGGGGGAGGAGTCCTCCCTCTCCCAGTACCAGGTACGGCCCGGCTCCTCTTGGACATGACCCTCGTCCGGGATCCGAACTAGTTTTTTGTTTGTTCCCTCCCCATCCTGGCTATTTTTCGTCTTCTGTGAGGCGCGCCGTTCAACTGTAAGCAGACAGACGTCCAGCCTCTGGGAGGGGCACGGTCTCTCTTTTATTTTCACTCCGCTCTAACATGGCCACGTAACCTTCCGTAGCCCCTTTTTTGACCCGACACTGTGCCTGACACAGTTGGAGGGACGCATGCTCTCAGGTGCGTGAGTTCTTGGGGCCCGGGAGGAAGGGAAGGACCGCGTCGAGCTCAGTAAGTAGCGTCCGTTACGCAGGGCGAGGGGAGGGAGCGGGTGCCGTTGCTCGTTTTAGGAGGTTGGTCCTGAGAAACCTCGGTTATGATGTGACACTCAAAATCGTAGGGACGGTCCTCACTTCCTCTTGGGATTGTTACGAGCATCATCGGGGAATGGATTTGAAAGCACCACGTTTTGTGCCTGACGCAGCGGAGGAATCCCCTGTTATTTCATTTACTCTTTAGAAAATCAGGCCATCCCCAAGGTGGGAAGGGATTTTTGTTGGTTTTTGATAAGCCAGCAGCATGTGAAAGTGGGTGTGATCAGAAAGGACTCCATCCTGGCTGTAATCAAGCATGGCTTTCTGGAAATGTTCATGCTATAGGAGGGGCCCGGTGCACCAATTCCTGCACCTTGGAAGGAACTGTGGGCTGCGAGGCTGGGGAGGGCACAGGGGTGGGTCTTGGCCCCCGACCCCCCCTGGCACCCACGGAGGAGCGATTGGATTGGGGCCAGGGGCCAGCGCCAGCAGCGGGTGGGAGCAGGCCAGTGCTGTCAGTGGGTGCAAGCAACGGCTGCTGCCCCAAAGGCTCCTCAGGAGCAGGGGGAGGTGGAGAAGCCCCCAGGGGCAATTGGGGCCAGCAGCTGCTGCTCACACATGCTGACAGCACCGAGCGATTGGGACTGGTGCCAGCCAGCGGGTGCGAGTGGGGCCGGCGACAGCAGCAGGTGCGAGTGCCCGGGCAGGAGGACCACAGCGCACGGGAGCAAAGAATTTTCAGTAACCACCAGAGGCTGGCCCCAATGACAGCGACCGGCGCCTTGCCTTGGTCTGGCGCCCCCTGCTCACCTGTTCCACCATCCCGCCCTGGCCAGCGCCCGCCATATTCCACGCATGCCCCCTGATGGTCAGCGCATGTCATAGCGACCAGTTATTCGTTTGTTGCACTGTTTGGTCTATTTGCATATTAGGGTTTTATATATGTATCTGTACTAATAAAGAGCTAAAATGCTAATGAGTGGGACGCTGTAACAGGTAACGACCAGGTCATTAGCATATTAGCTGGGGCGTTGCTCCGGAGACAGGGCAGAAGTGGGGAGGCACCCAGAGGTGGCGGGACCATCCCGTGCTGGGGAGGGCAGGGGTGAGAGCCCATAGCACCCCCTTCCCCAGTCCTTCACTACCCACCGCTTGCACTCTGAGTACCCGCGGCCCACCTGCCAGGGAAGGAGCACAGCAGGCGGGAGGCTTCCACGCTCTCCTCCAGAGCCATGACGGGGCGGAGCCGCCGTGTTGCTCTGGAGACAGGGCGGAAGCGGGGAGGCGCCCAGAGAAGGCAGGGCCAGCCTGGGGCGACTGGAGAGACTGAGGTCGGGTCTTGAAGTGGCCAGAGGCGGCCAGAGGATTTGGGGGCTGGGCCAGGTACGCTGGAGCTCTGCATGGACAGGTTCGGGTGTAAAGGCAGGGCTGCAGGTGAGTGGTCTACGCTTTGTGATATTGTGCGCTGGGCTCCTAGTAGATAATAAAAGGCTAATATGCAAATCCACCAAAAGGAGGAATGAATGGTTGCTATGACATGCACTGACCACCAGGGGCAGACGCTAGATGCAGGAGCTGCCCCCTGGTGGTCAGTGCACTCCCACAGGGGGAGCACCACTCAGCCAGAAGCCAGGCTCACGACTGGCGAACGCAATGGTGGTGGCGGGAGCCTCTCTCGCCTCCACAGCAGCACTAAGGATGTCCGACTGCTGGGTTAGGCCTAAGCTGTCAGTTGGACAGCCCCCGAGGGCTCCCAGATTGCGAGAGGGTACAGGCTGGGCTGAGGAACACCCCCCTTCTCCCCCCGCCCCAAGTGCACAGATTTCATGCACCGGGCCTCTAGTTGGTAATAAACTGATTCTTTTAAAGATTAAAAACTAAAAAACTTGGCAAACATTGTAATGCCACATCTAATGTGTGGCATTGTCCGATTCTTGTTGATGAGAAGTGATTTGAAGCTAAAGAGGTGCTAGATATATTTTTGCAGTTTTGAAAATAGGTCACAGGTCTACAATCTACTTACTTTAATATTTCAGTTTACAAGAGTAACTTACAAGATGCTCAGCACACAATATTTCACTGGTACCCTACATTGCTGTGCAGCATTTGGCACAGTCATGAGTAAATTTTTTATTTTTATTTATTGTCTACTTTTCTAGACAGTAAACACCAAGTCATGGCCTCTGGATGCCTTACTTATTTTCTTAGGTATTTCCAGTATTTCACTCAGCTCCTGGAACACATAAGCTCTCAGTAAATACTAGTGTTTGTCTGAATGACCCTCAGTCTTCCAGAAGATCCAAAACTCTGAGATAGGCAAAAAAGCAGCTTAGCATGAGTTGCGAGTTTAACAAAAGCGTAAGTGGTGCCTTAGAAACCAAACAAACAAAAACCCCTAAGTACTCTGATCGTCACAAGTGATTTAAGGTAATTGGATTGTGTGTAGCAGAAGAAAGGTGGCTTCTATTTGATGTGAGGTAGACTGTCAAAATCAAGTAGAAAGAAAATGGGGGTTGAGAAGATAGGGAAAAGAAGGAAAGAACCATGACAGGAGGAAAAACAGAATCAGCAAAAAGGCAACTAAAAAAAACAAACAGGCTTATAGACATCAGTAATAATTGATAGAAATCTCATATTCACGATGTCTTGTCTAAAAGGACTTTGACTTAGTGGGATTCTTCATACATAAGGATAAGCAATACGTTGGCAATTTCATGGTTTATTACTGAAAGTAGAAAGAAAAGAAAAAGGCAACATGGTAACGAGAATAGGAAGAACTGATGTTTTTTGAGGACATATGATGCTGAGACAAACACTTCCATACCTGCATAGGTAAAGCACCATTTTACTTCCTACAGAAATTCTTAAACCCATTCTCTATCTTATTGTACTATTTCTAATATAATGTAGTAATTATCATTTATTAATGCTTCTGAGTTCTTCATTTGTCTTCACTAAAACATATTGAGAGTGAATTATATTATGCTAAAGATAACAGAGAGGAAAGACACAGATTCATAAGTAATTCATTTATTGATTTTTTTACAGAGAGGAAGGGAGAGGGATAGAGAGAGTCAGAAACATCGATGAGAAAGAAACATCAATCACCTGCCTCCTGCACACTCCCCACTGGGTATGTGCCCACAACCAAGGTACATGCCCTTGACCGGAATCGAACCTGGGACCCTTGAGTCCGCAGGCCAACGCTCTATCCACTGAGCCAAACCAGTCAGGGCTAAGTAATTCATTCTTAATATTCGTAGTTGTATGGGATGAGCAAGTAAATAGATACTTAGAATGCAGGGTGATAAGACTGTAATAGAGGGTGCTACAGGAGTCAGTCCAGAAAAGATGCACTTATCCCTGGGATATTTTGGGGGGAGGAAAGTGTATCGAGGCTTTCCTCCAAGAATGTGTTAGCTACCAAAAAAAAGGAAAATGAGGGCATTGCAGGAAGAGAAACACAAGAGAGTATGCAAAAACAGAGAAGCATAATAAAGCATAATAATTACCCAGAAGTACAAGTTAATCTGATTGGAGTGTCAAGTACAAGAGGGGAATGGTGGAGGGTTGAGGCTGAAGTGGGAGGCTGGAGCTTGATTATAAAGAGGAAATTTATGTGCAATATTTATTTATCAAGGTAGGGAAATTTGATGCATTTTATAACATTCCAGTCAAAATGGTTAGAACTGTTTCTTCAGTTAATGGCTCGAGTGTAATTATCCAGAATGCTTCATTACCCTTCAGTTATGGAAAACTAAAGCAGTACTGTGCTTTCAAGTAATTGCCACATATATTTACATTAAAATTAAGTATTTTGACCAGTTTGCTTTAATTTCAGAGATTGCTTTGCATAAACCCACCCCTGTTTGAAATCTACCAAGTCTTACTAAGTCCAACGCAACATCACATAGCACTTATAGGAATAAAAGGACTTATGGTATTAGAATTACCTAAAAGATGGGGGAAGAATTCTGAATTTGAAGGTGGCAAATCAACAGTGAATTGTAGGTAAGTTGTATTTCCATTTAGTTGTTATCTTTTAATTTGTAATACATGCAGAAAATTACTCAAGACCATTGGTTCTTGAGGTATGTTTACTGTGAATACTCCAGATGGTCTGCACATTGGCATTTTACAATAATGTTTATAGTATATGTGTGATTATGCTTTTTATTCTTCCTGAATTATCATGTTGCTCTCTCAATAGAAGTCAGGCTATTTTTCAAGTAGGTAAAAATAAGGAGTGTGTTTGTTTGTTTTTTAAATACATATTTTTATTTATTTCAAAGGGAACAGGAGAGGGAGAGAGAGAGAGAAACATCAATGATGAGAGAGAATCATTGATCCACTGCCTCCTGCATGCCCCCTACTGGGGATCGAGCCTGTAACTCAGGCATGTGCCCCGACCAGGAATTGAACCCTGACCTCCTAGTTCAGTGATGGCGAACCTATGACACGCGTGTCAGAGGTGACACGCAAACTCATTTTTTTGGTTGATTTTTCTTTGTTAAATGGCATTTAAATATATAAAATAAATATCAAAAATATAAGCCTTTGTTTTACTATGGTTGCAAATATCAAAAAATTTCTATATATGACACGGCACCAGAGTTAAGTTAGGGTTTTTCAAAATGCTGACATGCCGAGCTCAAAAGGTTCGCCATCACTGTCCTAGTTCATAGGTTGATGCTCAACCACTGAGCCATGCCTGCTGGGCGAGAAATAAGGTTTTTTGTTTGTTTGTAAAATATATTTTTATTGATTTCAGAGAGGGAGAGAGAGAGAGAGAGAGAGGTAGAAACATCAGTGATGAGAGAATCATTGATGGGCTGCCTCCTGTAAGCCCCCTACTGGGGATCGAGCCTGCAACCCAGGCATGTGCCCTTGACCGGAATCGAACCCAGCACCTTCCAGTTCACAGGCCGATACTCTATCCACTAAGCCAAACCTGGTAGGGCGAGAAATAAGGTTTTTTAATAGCAGTTATTATCTATGAATCACAGTTTGTTCATAAGTTCAATTAAGTTTTACTTTTGTATTATTTTTCAACAAACTCAGAAAAGTGAGAGTCTGAAAGCTCTGTTGAAAAGAATATAAGATAGAAATCCACCTTTAGCTCTGTAATTTATAGGTTGGGTCCCTTTGAAGTATTTCTAAATTTCTATTTCCTCATTTCTACAATAGGAATGATAATATCTGCTCTTGTATTTTTCTTACAAGGTTACTAAAAAGATCAAATAAGGTAATATATCTGAAAAATACTTTTTATTTTGATTCTTTGATATTAATCGAGTAGGTGCTTTGAATGCTCTTCTAGCAAGACTTAAGTGAAAGAAATTTGAAGGAAAGCAGAGCAAAGTGTGTTAAAATAGGTGTTCCTTTAGAATGTTTTTCATCGAAGAGCTACAAAATGTTTTGGAAAATTGTTGTCTTTATTTTAGTACCACTCCAATTGCTGAGAGATTTTTCACCAGTTCTACCTCTCTGACTCTAAAGCATGCTGCCTGGTATCCAAGTGAAATGCTGGATCCCCACATAGTTCTGTTAACATCAGACAATGTAATAAGGTAAAGTTTATTTTTATGTCTTACAGCTTTGTGAATAGGGAAGTTCTGTTTCTGTTTTCCAGTTAATAGCTCAAGGTACCACTAAAGGGGTCCTTGGATGTTAGAATGCTTTGTCTGATGGCTGTTGTAGCCCCATTCTCAACATTCTAACTGCTGTAACTTACATGCCTTAATTACTGCTATTTCCTCTCAAAATCTTCCAGTCTCTCCTATCCTAATCTGACTTGTAAGCATTGATAAAATAATCTTCCACAAACTATTTTCTTTATGTCACTATTTTGGTGGTAATGTGACAGGAGAAAGAGAATATAATTGGGAATTGAGAGATTTGAATTCTTGTCCCAATGCCACTTCTGTCTTTGAGATCTCAAGCTTCTTTATAGGAAGCATTAGTTTCCAGTTTATAAAATGAGCAGATTTAATCATTTCTAAAGTCCCTTTCAGGTTTTGTACTCGACGATTAAATGCTCTAAAACTACAGATTTTCTTTTATCAGTTAACTTTCTGTATCTGCCTTATGTAAAAAGTTGATGGGGAGATTCTAACTGAGATACAAATACCTCCAGTTTTATTTTTCTTAATCACTGCTTTTAACTGCTCTACCAAACCTTCCTTCTGTACTGAATGCTTGATCCCGTAATGGCACCTTATACAGATCTCATAGCTTTCTGGTTACTTTTAGGTATAAAAACTAAGTCTGTCCATTTAAAACTCCGATCTCAAATCTATTTCAAAACTATATCCTGGGCCTATCACAGATCAGACCTTGAGGCATCTGAAATGAGTGGAGAGGGCATGATCTGCTCTTTGACTCACCTTGAGGTAGGGGTGAAGTATAAGGAGGGGGCTACCTCCTCTGGGTGTAACTCCTTGATAGTGGGAGTAGGAAGCATGGGGTAGCTGAGGCAAACATCTTACCTAACTGGTTATCTGTCAGTGATGGGGCAGAAGGGTGGGGGACATATGCCTGATCCTAGATTAATTGAGTTCCACCTGCTGCTGGTGGCCTGTTGATGTGCTAGTCTCTGCACCAGTGGGGTGTATGTGTTTTCTGGGGCAGCTCCCTCCATCATTGAGGAGCTGTCTCCCATTGGCTCTATTAGCTGTCCATGCCCTGAACCCACTCTCAAGAGTAGCCCCAAACTTGATATTCCTCCCTTCTCTACTTAAACTTTTTGGTCGTTCATATGGAGTCATGGTAACTGCCAAGATCCTTTTTGTTGCCCTCCAGGGACCACAGAGAACTGGGCATACTATCCCATGGTCCTTTCTTATGCTGTGCCAGCCTCCCTCCTTCAGATATGTTCATATTAGATACCACATAGTGATCACATGCCCCCAACCCTAGGATATGGAATGTCAGTTTTGCCCAAGAATTCCCTTTGTGGCCTGTAGTTTTCTGCAACACATCTGGCATTCAACTCAAATGAGATACTGATCTCCCTTTATTACAGGCACTCCTAAATCTCACTTTCTCTTAGAGCCTTCCCTGTCCACCCATTTGGTTTTGGAGTTGGGGATAAAGAAAGGAGGGATTACCTCCCATTACAAATATTGTACTGTACTCCTAAGGACTCTTGACACCCTCTGTCTTAGTCTTCCTTTTATGTGTGCTGGAAAAGAAGACAGTGGGAGATAGTATAGTCTAGGCCAGGGATGGCGAACCTTTTGAGCTCGGCGTGTCAGCATTTTGAAAAACCCTAACTTAACTCTGGTGCCGTGTCACCAGAAATATAGAAATTTTTTGAATTTGCAACCATAGTAAAACAAAGACTTATATTTTTGATATTTATTTTATATATTTAAATGCCATTTAACAAAGAAAAATCAACCAAAAAAATGAGTTCGCGTGTCACCTCTGACACGCTTGTCATAGGTTCGCCATCACTGATCTAGGCCTTCCTCACTTAAGCCTTAAAGGAAGTATCTGGCCTCAATTATTAAAGGTTCTTTTTTAGACATGGGGTATTTAGCACTTCTCTTTTCCTAAGCTGTGGATTTTGTTGACAATTTCAGGGCAACAAGAAATTCTCACAATGTCTGTTGCATTTACTTTTTCACTATTCCCCATTACAATATATACTGTTTTGTGCTTATGTATATTTTGAAGTCAGTAAAGTTTATAGGAAGACCACAATGAATGTGTGTTCAACTGGATCAAATTTTCATTTAAAATATTTATTAGATGGTATTTTATTGGTTATGGAACACACTAAGTTTTAAAATCCTTAGTGGGTCAGACAAAATAAGTGATTAATTTTGTTAATTTGTAAAAAGACTTTGTAAGAGACATTGGATTTCTAATAATATTACTGACCTTTTGAAAATTCTTTCTCCTTTTAACAGTAGCCATATATGCTGTGAAAATTTAAGTTATTTTAAATTAAAGTGATTTGGTAAAAATATTTTTTTCAGTTTTAAACTTTCCTTGAGAAAATAGGGATGGCGTGATAGTTTTTATATCACAGAAACATGTATTGTAGGCTACATGTCACTCACTCTGCTGGTCAAAATAGTGAGATGTAGTTCCTTCTCTAGTGAGATTTGTTGTCTAACAGGCCGAGGAAGATGGATATATTTGAAAGGAAGCTGGCAAACTTAGGGGCAGTAGTGAGATGACTAGACAAGGTGAGTATGGCTAAGGATTTAGGTGGAAGAGACAGGTGCAATGCCATGGAGTAGGCTAATAAAGTGTTTGGGTAAGGATGGAGAATATTTCTTCAGGTCCCAAGGAAACCTCCTAATGTTAAAGAACAAATGAAGTACCTACTTTGTCAGTAACAGCAAGATCTTTGACAAAGAAATGGTTGTGATAACTGGTAGGAAAATTCTCAAGAACTGACTGGATGTAGAAGAAAGGACAATTTTGGGAAATGAAAGAGAATTTTAAGTGCTGGCTTCCTTCTCTTTTGATTGTTAGAATTTACTCTCTACGTGAGCCCCAGACACCCACTAAGGTCATCGTACTTTCAGAAGCAGAAGAGGAAAGTCTAATACTCAATAAAGGGTAAGTTTTTATTTGTGTCATGATATGCTTTTCAAATTAGGTTATTGAGATTATAAATGCAATTTTAATAGAGATTGCAAATTTTCCAGAGGTGACTTTAGCATGCTTTTGGTAGGTGAGAAATAAGCAAAAGTAAGCAATATGACTAAATAACAAGAAGTTACAAATCTGAATGTCTTTGTAACTACTAGCTTGATAAGTTTTTCAAGAAAGTTTGGAAATGTGAGTGGCTGAAACTGATTCCATGTTGTATCTTGAATAATAGAATAAATTTTAATATTGCAAAGTACAGAAAAGGTGAAAGGTGAGAGTGTTGGGGTAGAGGCCTACCAGCTATTCACTCAGCCGATTGCTGAACTCCCAGACCAGCAAACTAGTATCCCAGCACCTGGAGTGGAACATAGGTAGCCCTTCTGACTCCCCTGTGACCCTGGCTTTTATGTTTTCTTGTCCACTACAGAGGCAAATTCCTGGCTACTTTGACCACTAACCCAGTCACTCTTGAACTCACAAACCTGATTCCTCTCGCCTCCTGATCAATCTTTCTGGTGATACCACACATGATCACCTACAGTGTGTCTTTGTCAGACTTACTTCACTTAGCATTATACCCTCTCAGTTCTTCCATGTTGTTACAAATGGATTTCATTCTCTTTTTATGGTCGAGTGATATTCCATTGTATATATGTACCACAATATTTTTATCCATTTGTCTATTGATGGGCACTTGAGATGCTTCCATATCTTGGCTATTACGTACGTACATAGGGGTGCATATATCTCTTTTTGGTTTCTTTAGATAGAAACCCAGAAGTGGAATTGCTGGGTTTTTATTATTAATTTTTTTTTTTTTTGGTACTATTTAAAATTTTTTTAGGAACCTTCATACTCTTTTCCATAGGGACTGCACCAATTTGCAATCCTACCAACAAGGCCCAAGAGTTTTCTCCACATCCTTGCCTACACTTGTGGTTTATTGATTTTTTGATGATAGCCATTCGTCTGTGGGCCACCTGTATGTCATCTTTGGAGGGTTTTTTTAGGTCCTCTGGCATTTTTTAAATTGGATTTTTTTTTGTATTATATGTTAAGTTGTAAGAGTTTTTTATAAATTTGGGATATTGATCACATATCGTATGCATCTGGCTAATATCTTCTCCCAGTTCGTAAGTTGTCTTTTTGTTTTGCTTGTTTCCTTTGCTGTGTAAAAACTTTTTAGTTTTCCCTGGCCAGGTGGCTCAATTTGTTGGAACATTGTTTGGTATAACAAAGGTAGTGGGTTTGATTCCTGCTCAGGCCACATACCTAGGATGAGGTTAGATCTCCCTGGTCTAAGAGCATGCAGGAGGCAGCCAGTCTGTGTTTCTTTCTCACATTGATATCCCCCCCACACACACCCGTCTCCCTTCCCTTCTCTCTCTTTCCCTCCCCCTTCCTCTCTCTCTCAAATCAATTTTTTAAAAAAGTATCCTCAGGTGAGAATTTAAAAAAAAACCTTTTTAGTTTAATGTAGTCCCATTTGTTTATTTTTGTTTGTTTGTTTCTGTTGTATCAAAAAATATATATATCACTAAGAGCAATGTCAGAGAGTTTACTGCCTATGTTTTCTTCTAGGAGTTTTATGGTTTGGGGTCTTAATGTAAGTCTTTAATTCAGTTTATTATTGAACTGATGTTTGGGAATATTAAGAGCACAAATTGGGGTGTGTTCCTTCACAGGATTTTCATCAGCTTCTACTAGGAGTTAGAGGTTGCCACCAACCTGGGATCACTTTTGATTCTCTTTGATAGCCCCAGAATTGAAAGTTTCAGTTAAATGATTCTAATGTCTTACAGCAGCAGCTAACTTCAGTTTCAGTGTGTCCATCTCCACAATAGGGAAGTAACTGCCTCTGGGAGGTGATAGGCCCTGTTGTGGTGTCAGGACATTTTCTCCCCTGCAGTGCTTCCATAGCTTATACCTTCTTCTGACAGACACATGTCTAGATGAGAGGCAAGAGAGCCATGCAGCTGTTCAGAGCTTTGGCTCTGGTGTCAACACAACTAGCTTCTAATCTCAGCTCTTCCACTTGTCAGCTGTGGCATTTGAGCAAATTATTCAGTTGCATTAAGCTTCATTTCCATAACTATTCCACAAATATAAAAAATAATAATAGTCTGATTCCAAATCTTAGCTATTGTAAATTGTGCTGCTATGAACATAGGGATGCATATATCCTTTCTGATTGGTGTTTCTGGTTTCTTGGGATATATTCCTAGAAGTGGGATCACTGGGTCAAATGGAAGTTCCAATTTTAGTTTTTTGAGGAAACTCCATACTCTTCTCCACAGTGGTTGCATTATGCTGAGTGAAATAAGTCAGAGAAAGATAAATATCACATGATCTCATTTGTGGATAACAATGAACAACATAAACCGATGAACAAAAATAGATCTAGAGACAGAGAAGCATCGATCAGATGCTCAAACCTCAGAGGGAAGGCAGAGGAGGGTGGGGCTAAGGGGGAGAGATCAACCAAAGGACTTGTATGCATGCATATAAGCCTAACCAATGGATATAGACACTGGGGGGTGAGGGCATGCGTGGTGGGGTGGGGGGACAACGGGAGGATAAGGACACATTTGTAATACCTTAATCAATAAAGGGAAAAACATTTTTAAAAATAATAAGCTAGGGTAGCAATACTTAGACAAAAAGTAATAATAATAGTGCTCATTAGGATTATTGTGCAGAATAAATGAGATCATGCATTAAAAGTACTTAGCATGGGTCTTGGCACAGATAAGTCCTTATTAATTGATACCAATTATTATTAGATAGATAATTAGAAATATTACTAAATTTGATAAGTTCCCACTAAATTTTAATGGCTTGGAAGTTTAAGTCTCTTTAATTTCTATGTCTGTTCCCATTTATTGTCTTAATTTTTTAGTTTAACTCACGCAGTTCTTTTATTCTGGATATTGGGATTTCTCATTTTTAGCTTCCTGATAACAATATATATACCTTTCCATGTGATAAACAAAACTGTGATATGGTACTTACAATACCTTACTTAGAATGATGTTGATTATCATCTGTATGAAATTGTGGTTTTATTTTAACCATATTCATTAACCTTGTATTACTCTGGAATCTTTTTGAATAATCAATTACACTAAATTTTAAAATTATAAAAACAGCATGTTTTATCATTTATCTTTTCTGATTATAAAGATAATGTATAGCCCTAACCGGTTTGGTTCGGCGGGTAGAGCGTCGGCCTGCGGACTTGGGTCCCAGGTTCGATTCCAGTCAAGGGCATATACCTTGGTTGAGGGCACATCCCCAGTGGGGGGTGTGCAAGAGGCAGCTGATCGATGTTTCTAACTCTCTCTCCCTCTCCCTTCCTCTCTGTAAAAAATCAATAAAATATATTTTTTTAAAAAGATAATGTATATTTATTATAGAAAATTGGGAAAACTATAGTGAAATATTAAGAAAATGAAATCTTTTGTAGTCTCCTATTGTCTGAACTCAATATAGCAACCAGAGTGATACTTTGGGTATAAATCAGATCATTCTACTTTCTTGCTCTCCATACTCCATTGACTGCCCCCTCTCCAGCTTCATTTCTCCCTCTGTGCCTTGGCTCTCTAACTTTAACCACCTTGGTCTCTTTGCCATTCCTTAGACACCATTAACCACCTTCCTACCTTAGAGCCTTGCATGTGTCCTTCCATCTGCCTCAACTGCTCCTTCCCTACGTAACCCAGATGTGCTCCATTGCTTCCTTAAAGTCTCAAGTATCCTCTTACCAGAATCCTTTCAGACCACCTCCTCTAAAAAACAGCACCTCCATCAATGCCCTCTTACCCTCCTTTATTTTTCTTTATGGCATCATTTTCTGACTTTGTGTTATGTGTTTACTTCTCTGTTGTAGGTCTCTATTACTAAAGAGCAGGGCCTGTTTAATTCACTGGTGTATTCCTAGAACTTGCAACAGAACCTGGCACAGAGCAGATACTTAGTAAATATTTGTGGAGTAAATGCATCCTACTATTCAGGTGTAACTATTGATGTTTTCATGTTTTCTTCCTGTTTTTTTTGTTTGTTTGTTTTTGTTTTTTTATTGATTTTTTACAGAGAGGAAGGGAGAGAGATAGAGAGTCAGAAACATTGATGAGAGAGAAACATCGATCAGCTGCCTCCTGCACATCCCCCACTGGGGAAGTGCCCGCAACCCAGGTACATGCCCTTAACCGGAATCGAACCTGGGACCTTTCAGTCCGCAGGCCGACGCTCTATCAACTGAGCCAAACCGGTTTCGGCTTCTTCCTGTTTCTTATTTGTGTTTGTGCATGTCTCTATTTGTATATTTTTACTATTTGTGTGTCTTTATAATTAAAGTAGCATTGTATAATTTTATGGCCTTCTTCACTTAATTTTATGAGGATTTTCCAATGTTGCTTCACATTCTTTATAATCAGAGTTTTTTGGTATTCTCTATTGGTTGACTACACTTCCATCCCATCTCCTGTTATTGGACATTTTGATTTTTTTTCAACAAGGTGGTTTTTAAATCTCTTTTCAGGAGGGCATATACTGCATCTCTAGGAGAAACAGCAGTTGCATTTGACTTTGGGCCATTGGCAGCCATCCCGAAGAATATTTTTGGACAAAAAGGCAAAGATGAAGTAGTGGCATACCCACTGTACATCTTATATGAGAATGGGGAGACTTTCCTTACATATGTTAGTCTGTTACACAGGTAAGTTGAGGAGGTGACCCATCTAAATGAAAGCCCAGATTGTGCTCCAGTAGAGATTGTCGTAGTTCAACTTATTTACTTATTGTCATAGTTGGAGTTATTTATTTATTTATTTATTTATGTATGTATGTATGTATTTATTGCCATGGTTTGATGTGGGATCTATGTTTTTGAATTGTGGAAGGTGTTGCTTGGCTTGCACCATTTGGAGAAAGATCTGGTACAGATCATAGGACCTTTCATTTACTCATATTAATATAGGAAAATGCGGTAGTATTCTTGGATAATCACTTAAGATAAGACTGAATTTCTTTTCACAAAGTGTAGTCAACCAAAAAAGTATTTATTGTGTATCATATATGAACAATATATTGTGGGGGTGGTTAGACATGGTAATCTGGTGTCTTATGTCCCAGCTGTGGGAAAAAGACATACATACACAAGAAAAGATAATTACCACATCAGTACAAAGACAGTAAGAACCCAGAAGAAGGAGAGATTATTTTGATTGAAGAAGTTACAGAAATTTTCATAGAGAAGCACTGATGTTATGTGGGATTTAAAGGTCTAATGCGGGATTAAATGAAGCATCAAGAAAGGGGTAAGAGCATTTTAATTACCAGGGAAGCATGAAGTAGAGTATGAAAGTAAAAAATGCAAGTGTCATTCAATGAGATATTTGGGGCTAGAGGAGAGGATTCTGGTAGGGAAAATTAAATGATAAAGCTAGAAATATCTGCCCAGGGAGAATTTGATGGATTTAAACACCTAGTTAAGGAATGTGGGTCTTTTCTGTAGGAATGGGGTAGTAAGAATGTAGTGATGGTTTCTCAGCAGGAGAAGATAAAATAATTGGTTAGGGAAGGGACTGGAGCAGAGAGACTTTAAAAAATTTTTTTTTTACTAATTTCAGGGAGAGGGAGAGAGAGAGAAACATCAATGATAAGAGATAATCATTGATCCGCCACCTGCACTCCCCACACTGGGATCCAGCCTGCAACCCGGACATGTGCCCTGATCAGGAATCAAACCATGACCTCCTGGTTCATTGGTTGAAGCTCCAACACTGAGCCACACTGGCCAGGCAATTGTTTTTGTTTTTGTTTTTCAGAGAGACTTTTAAAAAAGCTGTTGTAAAATTTATCTTAAAGTCTACAAGAGTTTGAACTGCGATAGTTGTAATGCAAAGGGAGAAATGAACATAGCAGATACTACAAAGGAAGGATCAATAAGACTTAGTTATTGTTTGGATATGGTAGTGAGCCATTAATAAATACTGAGATCAGGAAGGGCAGCTAATTTGGGGGAAAGAGGATATAATAGAATTGTACACCTGAAACCCATATAATTTTATTAACCAATATCACCGCAGTAAATTCTTTTTTTTTTTTAAAGTAGTTACAGGGAAGAGAGAGAGAGAATGCAAAATTATAAAGATGAGAAAAACTAAAGAGCTTGATAGATTGCAGAATGGTAAGGCTTCACTACTAATTGCATTTTCCTTGACAGAAGTGTTCTCTGCCTTCCACACATGATCTCTCTCAGGAGACTTTTGTGTAACATTATTACTCTCTCCCTCATTTGTCTACACTATGATCTACCTAATAATCTTATTCCCAAACCTAAAAGTCATCTACATTATCTTCCATCAGTCCAGTCCCAACATTCTATTGATTTTAACATGAAAATTTCTTGATACATCCTTCTCTCTATTCCCTTGTCCTTCCTTCAGACCCTCATCATCTTCTGCCTGGGTCCTTCTTAAAGGTTCTCTCCATGTCGTTCTCCTTACTACTCTCACTACCAGATGAATTTTAGTAGAGTGAAGCTCCATCCCTCTTGATTTAAACCTCAGGCGACACACTGTCCCCCAGCAGATAGACTCTGCGCTCTCTAACATGCCATGGAGATCATCTGCTTTGTAAGCCAGTCCTGAAAATCTGCTTCACTTCTTTGTTGCCTTAGACTTTGTACTTCACCTCCCATCACACCAAGCTCAGTTTCCTTCTTGCTAATTCCTTGTCTTTCATGCCTCAGGACTTTGTATATGCTGCTCCCTAGCTTGGGGTGTTTACCACCCCTTCCCAGAATATACTCTCTCCACTGATCTGTGATGCCATTTTTATACACCTCACTTTTTTTGTACCTTTCTGTATTTCTCAGTAAAGCTTTGGATTGTTACACTTACTAGTATCACATGGTAGAGTAATTCTGGTTATTAAATGTCACGTCTGTGGGGGTGTCATGTAGCTCTCAGTAAATGTATTTATCTAATTCAATTAAATATGTGGGTCTGGAGGCCCGAAGATAAGCAACATTTCAGGAGAAAAAAATTGAGAGTCATCAGAACATAGATAATAGTTAATGGTTTAACATGCTGTCATGTATGTATATTTTGAAAAGAGAATAAAGCTTACAGCACCAATATTTTTTCACCCAAATATGTTTCACTCTTTCTTTAGCCCTGGGAATATCGGAAAGCTGTTAGGTCCATTGCCTATGCATCCTGCGGCTGAAGATAACTATGGTTATGACGCTTGTGCTATACTCTGCCTACCCTGTGTCCCCAACATCTTAGTGATTGCTACCGAGTCAGGAATGCTCTATCACTGTGTTGTGCTGGAAGGCGAAGAAGAAGATGACCAAACAGTAAGTCAGCCTAGTGTGTGTGCACATTTGTATCTCTGGCACCTAGTTTACATCCTGTACCAACATAAATGCTTAGATGAGGAATTTCATTTGTTATCTGACACCTCTATATATTTTGGTTATTGAACGAAGTTAATCTTAAAAATTTAAATGGGAAGAAGTTAGAAGGTGCCCAACTTACTTGATCCACCAACCTACATATTTCTTTCTTGACTCTACCAAATTGGCAATCTTCGCTGACAAATATAAAAGAACTTTTGAGTCACTGATTTAGCTCTTCTCTGAACTTGCTTATTCCTGTCTTTCTAAAAGAAGGGAGACTTTTTTCTCCTTGAAGACTATAAAAACTGTCAGAATAAGGGGTGGAATTAAGAATTTGAAAGCACTATTTGATCCAGCTTTTTGCTTTTGTTTTTCATTGTGTACATTTTCACATAGACATGAAAGACTAAAAATATGCTTTTTTTTACAGTCAGAAAAGTCCTGGGATTCCAGGACCGACCTCATTCCTTCTCTGTACGTGTTTGAATGTGTGGAGTTGGAGCTTGCCCTGAAACTGGCGTCTGGAGAGGAGGATCCCTTTGATTCCGACTTCTCTTGTCCAATCAAACTTCACAAAGGTATTTTTTTCAATTACAGTTTACATTTTATTTATTTTATATTAGTTTCAGGTGGTTAGAAAAGACACCACACCTGCCCCTAATAATTCTAGTACCCAGTTGGCACATAGTTATTACAATATCATCATTATTATTTATTTTCTGTTTATATTTTTAAAAATTGATGACAGTATTACGGAAGCCCCCCAGGTTCCGGCCTTTGCCCCTGTCCACCCAGTCTCCCTTCCTCCACCTTAGACCTTCCCCACGCTATTTTCTGTGTCCATAAGTTATACATATATGCATATACTAGTTTATTCTTTGGTTAATCTCTTCCCATCCCTCCGCCCCCACCTCCCCTTGGAGATCTGTCATTTTGTTCCATGCATCCATGCCTCTGGACCTATTTTGTTCATCAATTTATTTCGTTCATTAGATTCCACATATAAGTGAGATTGTGTGATATTTATCTTTCTTTAACTGGCATATTTTGCTTAGCATAATAATATCCAGGTCCATCCATGGTGTCACAAAGGGTAAGAGCTCTGTCTTTTACAGCCACATAGCATTCCATTGTGTAAATGTACCACAGCTTTTTTTTTTTTAAAAGAATAGTTTAAAAAACATTGATTTTTAAGAGATAGAGGAAGGTAGAGCAAGAGAAAAACATCCATCTGAGAGCGTAACATTGATCAGCTGCCTCCTGCACACCCTGTACTAGGGATCGAGCCCATAATCTGGGCATGTGTCATTGACCAGGAGTCAAACCGGCAACCTTTAGGAGCACCGGATGATGCTCAACCAACTGAGCCACACCGGCCAGCGTGTGTACCACAGCTTTTTTATCCATTCATCTACTGATGGGCACTTGGGCTGTTTCCAGATCTTAGCTATTGTAAATTATGCTGCTAGGAATATAGGGGTGCATATATCCTTTCTGATTGGTGTTTTGGAATTCTTCGGATATATTCCCAGATGGGGATGTCTGGGTCAAACAGCAGTTCCATTTTTAATTTTTTGAGGAACCTTCCTACTGTCCCACAGTGGCTGCACCAGTCTGCATTCCCACCAACAGTGTACTATGGTTCCCTTTTTTCCACATCCTCGCCAGCACTTGTTTGTTGATTTATTAATGGTAGCCATTCTGGCAAGTGTGTACAATATTATTGGTTATACTAGAGGCCCGGTGCATGAAATTCATGCACAGGTATGGTCCCTGGGCCTGGCCTGTGATGAGGGCCGATCATGTTCCCCACCCCCCCACCTCCCTGCCTTCTCCTTCCCTGGCTCCCTCAGCACCCCGCTGCTGGTTGCCTGCCATGTTCTGCGCCGCCCCCTGGTGATCAGTGTACATCATAGCGAGCGATCGAACTCCCATTCTCCCGGTCAAACTCCCTAGGGGACACTTTGCCTATTAGCCTTTTATATATATAGATTCCCTATACTTTACTTTAGATACTCATGACTTTTCTATGACTACCAATTTGCTTTTCTTCATCTCTTCATCTTTTTCACCCATTCCCCTCCCCTCTGGCAACCCTCAGTTTATTCTCTTTATGAATCTGTTTCTGTTTTGTTTGTTCTTTATAGTCCACATCTAAGTGAAGTCATACAGTATTGTCTTTTTCCGCCTTCACTTAGCATAATACTCTCTCAGTCTATTCATGTTGCCAAAAATGGTAAGATTTTATTCTTTTATGGCCAAGTAATATTCCATTGTATTTATGTACTACATCTTCTTTATTTCATCATCTATTGATGGGCATTTGGGTTGCTTTCATATCTTGGCTATTGTAAGTAATACTGCAGTGAACATAGGGGTGTGTATATTTTTTCAAATTAGTGTTTTGGGTATTCACTAAATTTAATTCTTTTATTTTATTATATTTATACTAAAACTGTCATAGACTGTCCCTGTATAATTTATTTGTTCTGTGGTTCCAGACTTTAAAAATTAGACTGGCTTCTTTTATCCTTTTAGTCATATATTACTCTTTAGATCAGGGGTGGGCAAACTTTTTGACTCGAGGGCCACAATGGGTTCTTAAACTGGACCGGAGGGCCGGAACAAAAGCATGGGTGGAGTGTTTGTGTGAACTAATATAAATTCAAAGTAAACATCATTACATAAAAGGGTACGGTCTTTTTTTTCAATAGTTTTATTCATTTCAAACGGGCCGGATTCGGCCCACGGGCCATAGTTTGCCCATGACTGCTTTAGATCCAAGAAAGACTGAGCAAATTTTCCAAGTTTGAAAATAGTGGTCTTTAGTCTGGATCTACCCACATTTATAACAGTGAATTTTTCCTGGTTCAGTCAAAGGTAGATATTTCATGCTTCAAATACTTAAGGATATACAAACTTTAATAAACTTTAAAAAATCAAATTATAATATACTGATATTAAGATATCTCTTTAAAATATCTTTCATTTTTTAGAACACATCTTGTTATAATCAGATCCAGTTTGAATGTTACCCTTTTTATCTTTTTTTCTTTTGTTTTAATTTACCTGGTTGGTTCCAGATCATTCTGGCAACCTATCTCTCTTTACCTAAGGAGGTCTTGGATAAACAGATGAGACAGTTAAAGAGCATGTTGTTCAGAGTGGCTGAGTGGAAGGAGTGTGTGACTAGAAGTCTGGAGTGTCCTAGGTTTTAGTTACAGCTCTAACATTAATAGGCTTTATAGTAGTGGACATTTACTCAACCTTGGTCTTCAGTTTTCTCGTCTGAAAACAACAGGGATAACATCAAATGATCTTTAAGTTCCCTTCTAACACAAAAATTCTGTAATTTTATTTGCCCCTCCACCCTTTCTCAGAGTCTCCTCTAGATCTTTTCTTCTTAGTGAAGAAGGAGGAACAAAAGCTTATTCAGCCTGGAATAACTAGGTGTACCTTTCAAAGTTTTCTTCTGTGTAGTGTGGAGAGAGGGAGTTTAGTCTTAGAGCAGCCTGATTTAATCTGCTTAGAGTCCCACTAACCATTTTGGGTAGGTTTGGTAATAATGACTTTGACTCTGTATTAAAGTATAGCCAAAACATTTAAGGGGTCTTTATATAATAAACTAGGAAAGAGAACTCATTGGGTATGTCTAATTAAACAGTATTGGGAGAGATAGTCTAAATATATTAAGTCTTGAAACTTTGCTTTATAGATGAGGAAATTGAACCTATAAGGTAAAGTAATATAAACTAATTGGTTTCCTTATAAAGCTATATATGTGCCCTGGCCAGGTAATTCAGTTTGTTGGTGTCATCTTGATACACCACGGTTGCGGGTTCAATCCCTAGTCAGGGCACATACAAGAATCAGTGAATGCATAAATAAATTGAGTAACAAATTGATGCTTTCTCTCTCTCTCTCTTTCTCCCCCCCACCCCCCCAAAGTCAGTCAATTTTTTAAAAGTTAAAAAAAAGGTACAGCCGAAACCGGTTTGGCTCAGTGGATAGAGCGTCGGCCTGCAGACTGAAAGGTCCCAGGTTCGATTCCGGTCAAGGGCATGTACCTGGGTTGCAGGCATATCCCCAGTAGGAGATGTGCAGGAGGCAGCTGATCGATGTTTCTCTCTCATCGATGTTTCTAACTCTCTCTCTCTCTCCCTTCCTCTCTGTAAAAAATCAATAAAATATATTTTAAAAAAAAAAAGGTACAGATGTGTATCTTTGGGAAATCTTAAATGTAGGCATTTTTATCGTAGTTCTTCTGAGAATTAACATTCTCATATGTGAAACTAATTCTTGACTTGTTCATAATTGTACGTAAGGTATATTACAATCACTGAAACATTCATATTTTTAATGACATAAGTGAAATAACTACATATAACATGTTGGGGGGTATCTAAATTTCCTACTTCAGATATTAATGTTGCCTCTTCTTCATAACAGATTCCTGTTACATCCCAATATTAACATTTTTCTGTCTTTAGCACGACAGACACATTTTGAAAAGCCATTCTACATGATAGTAGACCTGATGATTTGAGCCTTACGTCTCAAGTATGGGCAGATGAAAAGAAGCTTTTTCAATATTTATTGTTCAGAGAAATGATTGCCATAGACCAGGAATTTTTAAACTTCTTACAGCACAGTGCTTTTTTCAGAGTATTATGCAGAACCCCCGCATATAAAACAAGATAATAATAATTTAACATCCACTATACAACATGTACATACTATAAAGTCAACAGTAAGAAAGTGAGGCTGTCTGATAAAAGAAATTTTTAGTTTAGGGGCTTATGGATGACAGATACCATCTTAAATCAGCTTTAGTGTATACTTATTTCTATATCTTGATTTAGTTATCTAATATTTTTAAAATCTGAGTCTCAGAAATATATGTCTAATATATGGCTAATATATGGCTAATATGCTAAGTGTTCGTCTGGGTAATGATGTCACGTAGCAACGCCCGGCTTCCTCTCCCTAGCGACAACTAGCCTCCTTGGAGTTTCTTCAGCCCAGGAATATGACTTGCTTTATAGCCAGGTACAAATATTTCACACTTTAACCAAATGTCTGTGAAGTGTTTTCCCATGCCTCATCTCATTTGATCCTCAGAGAAGTCCTGGAGTAGATAGATAGGAGACTCAGTGGAATCCTGTTTTCTTTTCATTAACCAGAAAACAGAAATTTAGAAAGTTTAGAAACTTGACCTGACTGAATAGAAGAAATGATGGACCTTGAAAATGACTTCAGGTTTTCTCACTGCGCAGAATATAGTCAAACACTGCTGCAGTTAAATATTTTACCCTTTGTTCTCCCTGCGTGATCTACAATAATAATCTGCTTTGTGTTGATATTTACTGCTGTGTTGCTGACAATTACCTGAAAGAGAAGTTGGGGTGCTTCACTGGGCTGGAAAAAGTTTAGCTAAATCAGAAAGCAGGTCTAATTAAGCAAGTTTATTCTATATCTATAAAAGGCTAAGTTGACTAGTGCATGTGCAATACATATAAAGCTCTCACTGGCGTAAATTGCATGCGTGTGTTTCCATCTCTCATTGTTGATCATGAATTTGATTGACACTTCTGTTATAGAGAAAGGGTGAATAGCGATATTAAAATATTTCTTCTAATTAATTTCCTTTCAATGTGCATAAATTCATGCACTGAGCCACTAATTTGTAAATAATAATCAGTATTTAAGAGCTCCTCTTTTAGTCTCAGAATGGTCTTACTAATACTAGGGCTCAAAAGAAGTATAGAAAATTTCATTAAAATTACATAACAACTGATCATATATTTTTTAAAACATATTTTTATTGATTTCAGAGAGGAAGGGAGGGGAGTTAGAGAGAAACATCAATAATGACAGAATCATTGATTTGCTGCCTCCTGCACATCCCCTACTGGGAATCAAGCCTGCAACCTGGGCATGTGCCCTTGACCGGGAATCAAACCTGGGACCCTTCAGTCCACAGGATGGTGCTCTATCAACTGAGCCAAACCAGCAAGGGCACAGCTGCTCATTTTTTTTAGTATAAATATAAGTGATTGTCAAACAAAAATTGGAAGTAGAACTTAAAATAAACTTAAAAATTATCTGTGGGTCAACATTATCAAGACAAGTAAAGCTTTACCTTTCATACCTGCCTTACTGTCTTATGACAGAACTATTTACTAACCAGTTGTACTGAAGTCTTTTAGTGTACCTGTACTATAGGAGTACACTTGCTTCACCAATTTCATGTAAGTAGATGTGTGCATAAGTTTTCTGCAGACCTATCCTAGTCATTTTATTTTGAATACCTGTAAATAAATGCACAAAAGTAAATAGAAAGGCATAAATGATTACCTGGTAGCAAGTGTTTATATTTTGGTGAACTCTATTGTGTTAATATTTAGAAAATAATGCATTTGCATTGTGTTTATTCATCATACTTTTTTAAACACCTAAAATATATTTGAAAGTTAAATTCAGGTTTTAAAATTTCAAAGACCCCCTAACATAGTGTCCTAATAAAAATCTCCTGTTGATCTTCCATCATTTTCATCAGAAAACGTGTTTTGGGGCTGCTGGGGTGAATATTTTCAGTTTTCCACTGGCTTCCTTTATATCATTAATGATTCCATTTGCAGATCCCAAGTGTCCCTCAAGATACCACTGTACTCATGAAGCTGGTGTACACAGTGTTGGACTAACTTGGATTCATAAACTTCATAAATTTCTTGGATCAGGTAAGTTTTCTGTGCTTTTCAGTATGTTTCACGGATCCTATTAAAAAGTAGTTTAGAAAAACCCAGGCCTTTGTGGTTCAGTTGGTTGAGCATTGTCCCATGCACCAAGAGTTTGTCGGTTTGATTCCTAGTCAGGACATATGCTCAGGTTTCAGGCTGGATCCCCAGTAGGGGGCATGCAAGAGGCAGCCAATCAGGGATTCTCATCGATATTTCCATCGCTTCCCTTCCTCTCTGAAATCAATAAAAACTTTATTTTTAAGTAGTTTGGAATAGAAAAATAATTTTGGAGTAGAAAATTAATGAAACCAAAAGTTGGTTCTTTGAAAAAATTAACAAAGTTGACAAACCTTTAGCCAGTCTGAGCAAAATTAAAGAGAGGACTCAAATTATGACAGTTAGTAATGAAATAGGGGTATTACTACTGATCTTTCAGAAATAGAAAAGATTATAATAGGATACCATGAACAGCTGTATGCCAATTAAATAACTTAGATGAAATGGACAAATTTCTAGAAAGACATTACCAAAACTGACTCAAGAAGTAGAAAATTTGAGTAGACCTATTCAAGTAAAGAGATTGAATTAATAAACAAAACTACCTAAAAAGAAAAGTTCAGGACAAACTGGCTTCACATCTTACCTAATAATAGACAAACATGCAAATTGACTGTACATTCGCTACACGTTAAGCCACGCCCACCAGCCAATCAGAGTGACTATATGCAAATTAACCCAACCAAGATGGCGGCCAGCAGCCACAGAGCTGGAGCAAGCAGGAGGCTTGGTTGCCCCAATGATGGAGGAAGCCAAGCTTCCTGGCGGCTCTGAGCTCCACTTAAAGCAACAAAGTTTCAATTATAGAAGGTAAATAAACCCCAGATACCTGCTTCCAGTCACCATGGCCACAGAGCTGGAGTGAATAAAAACAAAAAAATGAAAGGCTGGAATTTTCGGTCGCCAGGGGGCTTGGTTAGTCTGAAAACAGACATCAGCTCCTCACCCAGGCTGGCCAGGCACCCAAGCAGGACCCCCTTCCCTGAAGGGGGTTTGGGCAGCCTGAAAACAGCCCTCAGCCCCTCACCCAGGCTGGCCAGACACCCCAGTGGGACCCCCACCCTGATCCAGGACACCCTTCAGGGCAAACCAGTCGGCCCCCACCCGTACACCGGGCCTCTATTCTATATAATAAAAGGGTAATATGCAAACTGACCCTAACAGCAGAACAACTGGGAATGACTGGTCACTATGACACACACTGACCACCAGGGGGCAGATGCTCAATGCAGAAGCTGCCCCCTGGTGGTCTGTGCGTTCCCACAGGGGGAGCTCTGCTCGGCCACAAGCCAGGCTGATGGCTGCCAGCACAGCAGTGGTGGTGGGAGCCTCTCCCACCTCAACAGCACTAAGGATGTCCGACTGCAGCTTAGGTCTGCTCCCTGTTGGCAAGTGGACATCCCCTGCGGGCTACCAGGCTGCCAGAGGGATGTCTGACTGCCAGCTTGGGCCCGATCCCCCAGGGAGCGGGGCCTAAGCCAGCAGGTGGACGTCCTCCGAGGGGTCCCAGACTGCAAGTGGGCATAGGCCAGGCTGAGGGGCCCCCCGAGTGCACAAATTTTTGTGCACTGGGCCTCTGGTTTAAAGAATATCAATTATTCATAAGCTCTTCCAAAAAATAGGAGAGGAACACTTTCTAACTCACTCTATGAGGTATTACCTTGATGCCAAAACCAAACAAAGATGTCAAGAAAACTACAAATATCTGTCATGAATATGAATAGAAAAATCTTTGACAAAATACTAGCAAACCAAATCCAGCAATATATAAAAATCATCATATACCATGACTAAGTGGGATTTATCCCAGGAATGCAAGAATAGTTTAACACCCAGAAATCAATCCATGTATTATATACCATAGCAATAGCATAAAGGACAAAAACCATGATTATCTTAATAGAGAAAATGCATTTAAGAAAATTTAATAGCCTTTCATGTTAAAAACTAGAGGCCTGGCGCACAGATTCGTGAATGGGTAGGGTCCCTCAGCTTGGCCAGCTGGGGGGAGGGACTGCAGGAGGTTGGCTGTGGGAGCGCACTGACCACCAGGGGGCAGCTCCTGTGTTGAGCGTCTGCCCCCTGGTGGTCAGTGCACATCATAGCTACTGGACAGTCATCCGATCCTCTGGTCGTAACGGTCGCTTAGGCTTTTATATATATAGATACTCAACAAACTAGTAATAGAAAGGCACTTCCTCAAACGGATAAAGGGCAACTAAAAAATCCACAGCTAACACCAAACTTCATGGTGAAGACCAAGTGCTTTCTGTATTAGCTTTCTATTGCTGCTATTATAAATCGCAATAAATGGCTTAAAACAATAAAAATTTACCCTGGCTTATGTGCGTCAGTGGTTAGAGCACCAGCTTGCAAACCAAAGGGTCACAGGTTCAATTCTTGGTCAAGGGCAGACCTAGGTTGTGGGTTCGATCCTCGATCTGGGCACATGTGGAAGGCAGCCAATTGATGTTTCTCTAACCACCCACCCTCTTCCCTGCCTCCCTTCCACTCTGAAAAAAGAAAAAAAATAATGGAAAAAATAATCCTCAGATGAGGATTAACCAAAAAAAAAAAAAAAATGGTTTGAGACAAGAACTTAATTGCTTTTAATTAATATTGTCAGCATTTTAATTTGGAGACATTTGTGCATCAGTTAACTTGTGTAATGTGATAATGTGTTCCTTTGTAGATGAAGAAGATAAGGATAGTTTACAGGAACTTGCTACAGAACAGAAATGCTTTGTGGAACACATCCTTTGTACAAAGCCATTGCCATGCAGGTAAGAACCAACTCCTTGTCTACACAGGTAACTGTTGTTTGCCCCAGTAATCCAGATACATGTATGCATCACTATCACATGCAACTCACCCCTAAGAGTATCAGTTCATCCAGTGATCATCTGGAGCTCCCCTGTCTCAGGACCCTCACGTACTGTGTCCTCTCTCTGGAAGTCTTGTCCCAATTGCAGCTGTAGTTTGCCGTCTTCACTCGGCTAACTCTACTGATTCTTCCTGATCTTAACTTCGTGCCAGTTCTTCAGAAGGGGCTCCTCGATTCCCCAGTCTAACCTCAGGTTCTCCTCTTACTCCGCCGTTTTCTCTGTAGTACATTAAAGGTGGCGTCTGTATTTGTTTAATGTCTGTCAAACTGCTAGAGTATGTTTCAGGAGAGCAGAGACCACATCTGTTTCCTGCCATTTACTGTCCCCTCCTGTCGGCATACTCGCTGTCTGATGTGCATAGTGGGTGTTGAGTAAATATTTGATGACCAAATAAAGGGAAATGTCTAGAATGACTCCCAAGTTCCTACTTGGGATAACTGCGTAGATGTGGTCCCTTGGAGACACGTGGGGCACAGGAGAAAGTATGTTTGGGAGGATGGAGACATGTTAATGGGGGCACTTGGAGGTTTCTGTTCCTGTGGCACATCCAGGTGGAGGCACTCAGTAGGCTGTTGGACATGTGTCTCTGGTGTTTGGATGATCTGGGCTAGAACAGTATGGATGTGGGAATTGTCAGCTTTGAAGTGTGTCTACGGTTAAGGTTACTCAGAAAGGAGCCTAGCATGGGTAGAGGAGACCTGTGAAGAGAGTCTGAGCAACACTTTCTCACAGTCGGTGAGTCAGGATAGAGGAGCCCAGCCAAGGAAGGAAACTCGAGTCCAGGGCTGCCAGAAAGACTACAGGAAACCTGAAGGAAAAGGTGTCAGGATGCCAGGGAGGTGGGTGCCTCAGGGAGCGGGCAGTGGGCAGCAGCAGGAAGGAGTCATGAGTCTAGACTTGGCAGTACAGGGGCTTCATCTGGAACTGGAAGGGAAACAATCATAGGTGGGGGAGGAGAGCACCAGAGTGAAAAGTGAACAGGGAAAAGAGAGAATAAAATTCCACTTACATACATTTCAAAAACAGGCGGTAAAATTAAACAGGTTAAAAGTACCGCCTAGGAAGGAATACATAGAAAACTATGAAGCAAAGCAGGAGCGTGAGTATCATAAAAGTCAGAATAGCGGTGACTGCTCTAAGGAGTGGAAGGCTGGATCGGGTAGTATCAGCGCCCTGCTAGCGGCAGCATTCTGATTGGTGACCTGGATAGTGGTTACGGAGTGTATGTATGCACTCTTCTCTGTGTAGGTTTCACACTGAAAATATAAAATACAAAATTTTTAACCTCCCAGACTCCCCCTTACCTACCTCCCCTCTTATAGGTTACAATTTAAAGTCTGCTGATTCTAAAGAGAAGGGAAGAAAAACTAGGTTAGGGGGAGCTTGAAATTACAGTGGAGAGAGTTTTGAATGAAGAGACGTGAGCATGTTTATAAGCTGAGGGTAGACAATAGGATATTTTGAAACTACAGAAGAGGTGAGAGGAAATGGCATTGTCAGTCCAGAGCGGAAGTGTGCTGTGTGGGGGTGGGATGAACATTGGGGCAGGTGGAGTAGCCTGTTGGCAGGAAAGACGTTTCCTCCAGTGAAATAACCAGGATTAAGAGGGGGATGCAGGCCGTGTGCAGGAAATGAAGTCCTGTGACAGGTGTTGGGCTGCCTGGGATTTTTCATGAGAAATAGACTGAATTCAGTCAGCAGTTTCTGAGCACTTTATCTGGGCTAGGCAGAGACACCTGGGGCTTCTGTGCAAGTTGGGGAGAAAGACACGTATAACTTGACTGATTCATGTAACTGCTGAGGTTAGTGCGCATCATGAGGCTCTGGGTTCCTGAGTGACTTATAAGTCAAATGGCCTCTAGGCTGCTAAGTGACAGCATGTTTCAAACCAGTCACAGCTGTGAGTATTGCAGGTTTCCAGGTCAGCACCTTTGAGGTTACTGCACTAAGAGCAGGTCCCAGGCAACTGATAGCCCAGCCAGAGAAGGCGGCGAACCTCAGCCATGTCATTACACTTGGATCCACTGCGGTTGCCATTTCATAACTTCCCTGTGCCTGTGTGTGTTTCCAGGCAGCCAGCTCCCATTCAAGGGTTCTGGATTGTCCCTGACATCCTGGGGCCCACGATGATCTGTATCACCAGCACCTATGAATGCCTCATAAGGCCTTTATTGTAAGTACTTTTTTGTATTCCCCACACAACTTGTTAATTCTGCAAGATCTAAACTGGGAAAATGCCCTTAGAAACGGCTTGAAGGTACTTGGATTATGCTTTGGCTTCTTATGAGGGTTGGAAAGATAAAATAGGATTACTTTTAGGCATGATATCTTCTCTGGCTACCTGAGAGTCAAGAGCTTTACTTCAAAGTATGGGAAAGCATACTAAAATAGCGAACTCCATTATATGAATTATATTCAATGATTATCATGTTCTATGTGCCAGACTTAAAAGTAAGGCAGTTACATGCATCTTCTCCTGTAACCAAAGCGACCCTGTAAGGACCACACTATTATGCCCATCTTGTAAAAGGAAACAGGGCTTTCTCACTCCCAAGTCCATGCTCACACTTTAACTTCTCCATTTCTGCCAGGTTCAGAGGGACGTCATAGACATGTAACTCTGGAGGTCTGGTGGTATATAGCTGAACTCGTAATTGTCCTTCTTAAAGCACTCGTATGACGCTATAAGCGCTGTGTGGTTGTTTTGTTTTTCCAGCAGCCCTGGAATGTCATTCTGGGTTTTATAAATGCAGGAATAAGCCACCGGTGTTGAACACTGGCACTCCCCTTCCCGAGTCTCCTGGTGTCATTTCAAAGCATGTACTTTTAGATTACTGACACAGTTTGAAATACTGCCATTAATTTACTATCCTTCAAGGAACTCCCATGGTTGATGTTACACTATTTGGAAAGCAAAAGAACTCTTATCAATTTTGTATTACTTACACTAAAAGAGACTAAAGACTCTAGCAAGAATAAACATAATAAAATCCCTGAAAAAATTCCTTTTTGCCTTTTGTCTCAACCATATTTTTAAAAACCCATCCTACCTTTAGTGAAATAAGACCTACACACTGGGTTACTTCAGAATAAAAATGTGAATTTCAGAGGAAAAGAAAACTGAAATGTTGTTATCTAGATACATTCAAATCATGTTTTCTGCTAACTCCCTAAAATACAGGTTGTCTATAGTGTAATATTGTTATTTAACAAACTCCCAGATTATTGTTGCATTCAGAGTAAGTCGCTCACCATGGTGTTAACCTTTGCAGTCTTTCAAGCTTTCTGAAATTGCCATTGTGGATATTTGTAATATTCGAGTGAATGTAATTTTTATAAGTCAAGTTATATAGAGAGTAAGTACAGTATTTAGTGGTTATCTGGGTGAATATTGGTTTTGGTCAAATCCAAACTATACCTAGGAAATGAGTGATTCATTTGTTTATGACTCTGGCTTATAACGGGCTCTCGAGTCCTTGCAGAAAAGTTCATGATGAATTTATACCCTGTGCTGCCTCGATCTTTACAAAAAGAATTTGGAGTGACAGGGCCCAAAATGCTTTGACAAATGGTAGCATTGGTAGAATAAGGGGGTAGCTCCCCAAGGTTCTGTCTTCATGGCAGAAATGTACATCCTGGTACTCACACAGTGCCACTCGATAGTTCCTTAAGATTCTGGGCAGATGTGGCTAATGCTTTCCTCTGATACAGTAAGCAACTTCATGGTAGATTCTGTTTCATTTATTTTGCAGAAGCACAGTCCATCCTGCGTCTCCTCCCCTGCTTTGTACTCAAGGAGATGTTGAAGTGGCCGAGTCTCCCCTCCGAATTCTAGCTGAAGCCCCGGATTCCTTTGAAAAGCATATAAGAAGCATTTTGCAACGCAATGTTGCAAATCCAGCATTTTTGAAGTATGGGATATAGGTTATAGGTTTTAAGAACTGGTTCATCCTCTCCTCAGCTATTTATTTCATTTCATGTACTTTTTACTATGTTGGAGTTGGAAGAAACATAGGGCATATTTAATCAGCTAGTGAATAGACAGAATGGATATAGAGGCACCTGAATATGATAAACAGGAAGTATAAAAAGGGGGAAAAGCAGCTATGACTTGAGTCAATTTTTAGTTGTTTTACTCAACTAAAGGAAAGTAATGGTAGAAACTTTTTTTTAAAGATCATCTGAAAAAGATACAGCCCCTCCTCCTGAAGAATGTCTTCAGCTCATCAGCAGAGCCACCCAGGTGTTCAGAGAACAGTACATTCTTAAACAGGACCTGGCCAAGGAGGAGATTCAGCGGAGGTAGGTGGCCTTTGCTCACATACCACCAGCTCCTGGCGGGCATCTGACACTGTGTAATGGCCTAGACCTGGCTTCCCATTACATTTCTTTTTTTTCTTTTTTTTTTCTTTTGAAGGATCAAATTATTATGTGACCAAAAAAAGAAACAACTTGAAGATCTCAATTATTGTCGAGAGGAAAGGTAAGTGCCAAAATTGGGGAAGAGAAAAAAAAAAAAAAAAAGCTCAAGACGACGGGAACTGTTTCTCGCCCTAAAACCCAGACCACATTAGCTGGCTTCACCATCAAGATGGACCCTAAGAGTCTCGTTTTTTCTGCCATTAGGAAAAGTCTGCGGGAAATGGCTGAGCGCTTAGCTGACAAATATGAGGAAGCCAAGGAAAAACAAGAAGATATCACAAACAGGTCAGTGGTCGTACAACATTCAGTTCCCCGCTCAGGTACTACTAGTGCTACGTGCTCAGATATTAACAGTGCCACGCGAAGTGGGCCTGGAGTGTTCCCCCAGGCCTGCGGAGTGGAGCTGGCTCCCTTACCTCTCCTGAGGTGCGTTAGGGAAGACAGTGCAGTGATGCCTTCCCCCGTCATCCTGTGGTGCTCCCTTCATAGACACTAGATTTATTCCTAAGTGGCAGAGATCTCAAGCTGAGATGTTTTCTTGCCTTTTTTAAAGGATGAAAAAAGTACTTCACAGTTTTCATTCTCAGCTTCCAGTTCTCTCTGATAGTGAGAGAGACATGAAGAAAGAATTACAGTTGATACCTGATCAACTTCGACATTTGGGCAATGCCATCAAACAGGTAGGAATGAATATAGGTTGTTAAATTTTGTACTTATGTTTGTTCTGTAAGAATTATTTCATAAAATATAAAAAATTCTCAGAGGGGGTAGGGAAGGTGGGAAGAGATTTACTAAAGAACTTACAAGTATAATCCATGGACACAGACAGTAATGCAGTGAAGGCCTGGGAAGGGGGCAGGAGTGGGGAAGAGGGAGTCAATGAGGGGGAAAAAGGAGGGGGGGCAAATCTGTAATACTTTTCAACAACAAAAATACATTTTAAAAGTAAAAAGATACCATGAAAACATGCAGCAAACCACAGCCAAAAAAACCTATGTTCTGTTTGATACTTAAGGTTACCATGAAAAAAGACTATCAGCAGCGCAAGATGGAAAAGGTACTGAGTCCTCAAAAACCCACCATTACCCTCAGTGCCTACCAGCGGAAATGCATTCAGTCCATCCTGAAGGAGGAGTAAGTAATACTAATAGTCAGCTGTTATGAGGTAGCTTTTCCTTTGCAATAAATATGCCAAAAGTAGCCTTTCTCTGCCCAGCTGACATTACTTGGCATTTGTATGTCAAGTTTACTGGAATAGGAGCCATGCGATAAAGAACTTGAAATGATGACTTCATTGTAATAGGATTTTGTTGTGTGGTCAAGGTGTAGTCCCCAGGGAACATGTTAAAAAATATTCCCAGCAGTTGCAATACTATTTGCCACTGTTGTTAGCCTTAAATAAGTAGTAAACACCATTACTATCCATCTGAAATGTTAACCTGTTTATTTTAGCAAAGCACTTCTAATTTCAACATTACTAACTAGTTTGAATTCTTTATGGCTTACTCATTTGTTCTGTTCCCAAAAGTGATTTTATGATTTTACAGGGGTGAACACATAAGAGAAATGGTGAAGCAGATTAATGATATCCGAAATCATGTCAACTTCTGACACCACCAGGAACAGTCGCACCTGAAGTTAACACAAGTGAAGGCTTGAGCTCAAACTGTAAAACAAGCCAGTAGCATTATCTATTTATAAAGAGGCATTTGGTGTTATATTGTTCATCATTTTCATACTTTACTTGTTTTATAATTATTGAATAAATGCTTTTACTTAAAAATTGGAATGTACCTTATATATAAGCTTAAGTTGACGATTATGTTCAGCAATGGCTTAGGATTTTTTTTAAAAGCCCAAGAACCCTGCGTTTTCTCCACAGCTGAACAAGATTAAGAGCTGCATTTTAAAGTGCCAACACCAGAAATGTGATTCTGAAAAGGGAGGATTCAAAGGAAAAGGCCACACAGTATACTAGGCAGCAGCTTTTTTAATTTGAACACTCTCTTCCTAAGGACACACCTTCAGTACAGTTAACAAACGGTTACATCTGAAATCTGCTTAGAGCCGAGCCCAGGATCCACAACTGCAAAGCCGCTGCTGGCTCACTTCCACAGGCAGTATTACCTTTGAGAGCTCAGTTTGGCTGTGCACTGTGTCCTGATATGAGTTACAAGTGAGTACAAGGTACAAATGTAGGACCTCAAAGGGAAAAAGAAACAAATGACTTTGTCTGCAGTATATGATTTTGTTCTGTTAGCGTTGGGTAATGTTTTTTACCTGCCCATATTAGTTCTGAAAGGTAATACTGCACCTGCCTAGAAATGGCCGAGTGACTGCCAATTAAAAGCCACATAAGGCAGGTAACAGGTAGGAGGTAAATCATGTTAGACATGCGTGAGAAAATATGTGTACAGACTGAACACAAACACAGGAACACTTGTGAAACCGAACTGATCTTTTCTTTTGCCCAGACAGGCTAAATCCTGCCTTCAAATCAATTTCCCGTTTGCACAGAAAACCCTGATTAAAGTGTTTCTTACCAGGACAGTGGCACAATGTTTGCTTCATACCAGAAACAAATTGTTAACAAAACCTAGAGTAACAGTTTGGGTTTTTCTAGGACATTTTTCTTAACAAAGTTGGTTCCAACAGTCTGCATCTGCCACAGTAGAGACTACCAGTGGTTCCCTAATCATGATTTTATTGGCCCAGTACCACCTTACTGAGAAAAACATCTGCAAGCTTGTCTCAGCAGAGCAGTTCCCTGGGGCTAGAGTTTAGTTCAGGAAGATTATGAATTACCCATCCATCCTGAATTATAGTGCCAATTTTAATATTCTGAAACAAATTAGCTCAGAGCTTATTCAAGGAACCAGTCTTACACTTATAACGTTTAAACAGATTGTATTTTAGAATTAAATTCCCTGTAACTCAATGAGGATGTTTCCTTTAAACCAAAGTAGTACTTTATACAAAGGGACTGTAAACCAATTAAAATAACGTTTCATGCATGGCAAGCCTGTAGCACTATTTCCATAATTAGTATTTTAAATTCATAATCATGAATCCAAGACTACAACAATAACCTAAGGAATGAGGTATGTAGTCTGTATCTTGTCCCATGGAAGACAGAAGTAAAGATCTTTCCGGCTAGTCCACAACAGCTTCATTTATAACAACGACAATTCACTTTAAACTCTAAGTTGATGGTGGCTTTAAATGAGCCAAAAAATCTACTTAATCCATTTAATTACTGTAAGGGTCCTTCAAGTACCCTGCTGTTATATAACACCAATCACAAAAATTATCTGAAAACAGTTTTACCTTTGAACCATCTCTATCATGAATGAAACCATGTAGACTCCTACTGGCTAACAGTCCTGCAGCAGGTCAATAACCAATAGGAACCGTTCGTTCTCTGCTTTCTGCAACACCATACAGCCACAGCCTGTTCACTGAAGCTTTCTTCACAAAGAAAAGCTAACCTCACAGGAATGACAAAGCAGATTTCCAAACTGATGAACGGACTGACTGGGGTTTTCCCAACTTCATAAGCATTATCACACTCCAGGTCTAAATTATAAAAGAAAAATACAAAATTGGTACCTGTCGAACATAGTTATCACCATTTTGTATTTGACACTTCTGAAACAGTACTTCGGCCCATTGATTCGAGTTAAAAGCAAGCAGATTTATAAATTTGTACTAGATGTTGTCAGCTTGTTTTGTTAATATTATCTTTTCCCACTGATCCAATAACAAAGTTTTCAAGAGCAGGTGGTACCAGTTCAGTTTGACCCTGATACCTGTGGGCCCACGAAATTTATCCAAGTAGCAGAAAAAGTGCTTTCAAACAGTTTCTTGTGCTTTTCCTTTAACCTCAATTTCCAATACGTATAGCCCCAGCTAAGTTTTCAAATTCTCATAAATCAGTTCTTGAATTGGTTTTGTTTGCCACAACATCTGATTCTCCGGCAAGTTTCAGTAGCATTTAAGATCCTCCAATGAAAGATAGTTTTTTTAAAAAGCATTGAGCTAGGAAATGCAGTCACTAGCCAATGGCCTGCTCTCAAACTTCATATTTTAATATAAAATACTCATACAGCATACTACACGTGTCTTGCTAGCTGAATACTGTTACTGATGTATTCTATACAACAAAAAATGATCTCTTCCAATATCTATGAACAGGAAATGTAATTCCAAACACTACTGGATGGTGCTTTAGGGAAATGTTGGATAAACAGGCAAGGAAACAGCACTTTCTCCATCACCGAACCTGATCCACATCTGCTGGAGTCAAGCCTGGGGTCTCGCTAGTGTTCCCACTTGAAAGGTCTTTTTGCTGCAAATTAGCCTGGCTGTTTGCTGTTCCTGTGCTGCACAGTCTTCTCCCACTAGAAACACATCTCCTCAGTCTTCCTTTTTTGTGACTTCTTTAGTTAAGAGTAAGTAATTAATGTTGCTCTAAAGATGAGTTAAAAACCCAAAGTGCAGGCGAGAATCCTGCTGTGAAGGTGTCATGTCTCAGGAAGCTGGTTAATGTCTGTCAGTTTGGTATCATTCAGAATTGCCCGGACTCTCTCCAATGAGTCTGCTTGCCGGATCCGCTCTAACTGCACCTGGAGAGACAATACAGGGTAAGTGCACATGGTTCCTGCCTAGATTTTTGGAAGGTTACTTTGATTTAGAGGAGATGGAGCAATTCCCAAAAGCTGCTGTGGAGCAGACCCAGTGTAAGGTGCTGGGACCATGGATGTGAATGAGACCTGACCCCTGAGAACCCACAGTTCAGTTGGTGGTGGGGCAGGGGAACTTACAGAGAATCTCAGCACAATATGCTAAATGTCACTGTAGGCACTCAGTGTGCCAAGCGGCATGGAGGTGGTGGTGGACCACTGTGGCCCAGTGTGAGGACCTAGCTCTGTAGGTCTATGGGGAAGACAAAGCTAAGCTGGGCCTGGGGAGTCAGGCGCTGATGAGATAATGAGGCTTACCAGAGTGACTACTGTGGGCAAGGAACCACAAGGAGTTAAAATACATTGGAACATGGAATATAAAATATAAGGCAAAGAGGTGAAAAACTGTAGGGATAGGCCTTGTTGGGAAGAATCTTACATGGTATTCCAAGGACTTCACACTTTACTCTTTAAGGACCAACGGTAGAGAGGGAAAGGGGTACAAGTCTGAAGTGCACACCTGGGTTTTCGCTTGAATGACCAGGCAGGTGTTTGGGCTGGATTAGCTATTGTCAGTGGTGGAGTCAAGGGGCGGTGAGTTCTCCTGGGTTACCAGGACCCCCTAAACAGCCTTGGTGCTCTAAGGGTTCCCCAAATGCCTCACCTGAAGGGTTTGAGAAAGCTTTACAAAATCTCTCTGGACTTGTTCACTGACATCTAGTTCTGTCTGCAACCTCTGAGCTTTGTTCTTCTCTTCAAACATTAGTTGTTCAACGGTAACCTAAAAAAATACAAGTTTTGAAGGAGGATTAACGCCAAAGAGCCATAGGTCAGAATCACTTAGGACAGTGGTTCTCAATTTGGCTGCACATTAGAATCACCTGGGAATCTTTGAAAATCCTGATTTCTGGGCCTCATCCTCCGGAAACTGTTTCTTTGTTATGGCGTGGGTCCACAACATTAGTAACAAAGAGACAATTTCCAGAGGATGGGGCCCAGAAATCAGGATTTTAAAAAGATTCCCAGGTGATTCTAATGTGCAGCCAAGGTTGAGAACGACTGACTTAGGAGATCTAGGAACTTGTAGTCTCCTACTAGATAAGAAAGGTGGGTATCGAGTTGCCTAAGCTACTTGCTCGAGGTCCCTAAAATGAATCAAAACGTATTAAAGTGCTGCACGGACGGACGCACACATCTCCCTTCACCCCCAGCAGCCTGGTGACAGTGGCTAATCATCAAGAAGCAGCTGCTAAGCCCTAGCTGGTTTGGCTCCGTGGATAGAGCATCGGCCTGCGGACTGAAAGGTCCTGAGTTTGATTTCAGTCAGGACACATGCCCTGATTGTGGGCTCGATCTCCAGTAGAGGATGTACAGGAGGCAGCTGATCAATGATTCTCTCTCATCATTGATGTTTCTACCTCTCTCCTCTCCCTCTCTGAAATCAATGTCTACATTAATAAAAGAGAAAGATGCAAATTTTTATTTTTTATTGATTTCAGAGAGGGAGAGGTAGAAACATCAATGATGAGAATCACTGGCTGCCAAGAAAGATGCAAATTGACTGTACCTTTGTGGCACCCAGCAGCCAATCAGGAGTGAGTATGCAAATTAACTCAACAAAGATGGTGGGTTAATTTGCATACGCAGGTGCCAGGCAGCAGGGGGCGAGGCGGGATGTTTGCTCATTGCCATGGCGACGATGCAGGCATTCCACACCGCCCAGCCGCTCCAGGCCTCTGGGCAGCATGGGAAGGTGTAAAGTTGTCTCCAGGCCAGAACGAAGGCAGAAAGGCAGCTCCGGGCTGGAGTGAAGGTGGAAAGGCGGCTCCAGCCGGAGCGAAGGCGGTGCGGGCAGCCAGGGGAAGGAAGACCCATTCTTGCACGAATCTTCATGCATCGGGCCTCTAATATATATATATATTTAAAGCAGCTCTAAGATCAGAGCTACTACAGCAATACGGACAGAAACTTTGGGGACTTTCTCTGACAACCATAACAGTCAAGCATATGAAAATTGTCAGTGAACATATATCAGGCAGCCCCAGCTATCTCCCCTTCAGCAAACCATGTGGCAACATTTCTACAGAGAACTATCAGATAC